ATGGTACTGGGGCTCAAGGATTTTACCGATCATTTCCTACCACTTTGAATTCCTTCTTTTTCTATGCGTATTTTTACTAGCCTCTATATAATCTTTGTTTATAGTAGAGCTACTCCGCTTATGTGAAATTGAAATTACTACGCAACTAATTTATTATTTCTTTTAGAACGTACTTAGAAAACAATAAATTAATACTATTTAGTAACTTTTTTGGGCAAACAGCAGTTTTCGTTTACACAAATACTTAGTTTATTTATTACTACACTAAGACTGTACTAGTTAAGTAAAGATTTCAGTAATTTTCATTATTTATGCTGTGGGGGTATTTGTGAAGTTAAAATAATTATTTTTATCGAAAGGTTATTTATATTACTGTACATAATTGAATTATTTTACTCATATTTATAACCAACATTGTTGACATTTTATTTCTACACAAATGCGTATTACTTTTACTGGTGACTTCATTCGGAACCTTTTAAAATTAGCCTATACACTATGATTTTTTTGTTTTAATGTTGATTTAAGGCACTAGCCCCCATGATTTCCAGTTTATCATGTTAAGCTGTTGTTGATAAGTAGTACATCGATTGGTTTTCATGGACGTCAACACAAATTGCCTAGCAGATTTTTCCTATTAATGAAAGCAAATATTTTGTTGCTCTAAGGGATGCGTTCATTCATTTTCTGTCAATTTGATTATTATTGAAAATAAGTTCATATCATGTTGTCATTATTGACTTGTAGCTTGAAAGATACAATTTAGAGACAACAATAAAGTATCAATTTTTATGTTCTGAAGATGCGATAATTTTGTCTGCGACGGGTTAGGACCCAACATACTGATCAATGTTTGTGCCAGTCGCCGCCGAGTCTTATAACACCCAGTCATAGCGATCAACTAAATAACTTAAATAGCAATTTCTTTCAAACTATAGAAGTATAGTTAACCTGTAATTGAATACATAGACGTGTTATGTTATTTCAGGTTAAAGTTATACATCAATACATAATGTTACCACAGACGAGGGGCAATAATAGGGAAGGGAGTTCGTCAATATAGAAAAAGTCTCCTTGCCCGAATACGTTTTAGTTTCCTGGTCAGGAGATGGACTAGTAATGGTGGGATCCGAACCACTGTACCACCATACGAGTCCGGTAAACACATTTTGGACGAGTAGCGTACAATATTTTACGCCATGCGACTCTAAGCTAACTTAACAATAAAAAATCTGTAGATTTCCTCATACAGTGTGTTTTTTAAAAACTTGCATCTTTATTTATGTAAAAACCGCAATAGATAGAAATATGCAATTTGCGGGAATCATCTATTGACGTAGGGGGCCCAATTTTTTTGAATTCAACGTTACATTCACATTCCCCCCCTTTCCCCCCTGCCCCAAACTTAATTTTTTTAAATAGCAAGGTACCCCTTAGACATAGCAAATGAAAGAGCATGAAAAAAGAAAATGTTTGATGAAAAAAAAATTGAAAATCGGTTCATAAATTTGTGAGATATTCCCTCCCTCCCACCACGGTAATTATTATTTTTTTTTAATAGCAAGCTACCCCTTGTGACATATCAAATAAAAGAGCACGAAAAAAGAAAATGTTTGGTGAAAAAAAATTGAAAATCGGCTCATGAATTTGTGAGATAATCCTCCCCCCCTTTTCCCCTACCCATAACTTTTTTTTTAATAGCAAGGTACCCCTTATGACATATCAAATGAAAAATAAATTTCACCAAACATTTTCTTTTTTCATGCTCTTTCATTTGATATGTCACAAGGAGTACCTTGCTATTAAAAAAAAATTAAGTTCCGGGGAGGGGGGGGGGATATCTCACAAATTTATGAACCGATTTTCAATTTTTTTTCATCAAACATTTTCTTTTTTCATGCTCTTTCATTTGATATGTCACAAGGGTACCTTGCTATTTTAAAAAAATAAGTTGGTGGCAGGGGGGAAAGGGGGGGAATGTAAATGTAATGTTGGGCCCCCGACGTCAATAGATGATTCCCGCAAACTGCATATTTCTATCTATTGCGGTTTTTACATAAATAAAGATGCAAGTTAAAAAAAAAAAAACACCCTGTATATTCCCACCGGCTAAAGGACTAACAATCACTAGTTATAACCTATAAGAGAGGTTATGTTTTTGTTTATAACCACTCATTGCCAAATACAGTATAATCAGCTGTTTGGTGAACGTTAAAACTCATTACAGTACAGTAGTACGTAATGAAACCCCACTTGATTAAGCTGGCGACAAACAACTGTTTTTCTGGACTAAATCCTTGCTTGGGAAGTCTATCAAAATAGTGTTGTATGGCGTAAAACATATAACCGCTTAACCAGCTGCATCTCCCATGGTTTATTACGGATCCATACCCTTAAAGTATCAGCTATGTCAATCTCGTTAAATCCTTGGGATTATTAAACAGATTATCTGTGATATCTTATTTTACTAAAATATCCTCATTGTATACAGTTTGAGATATACAAAAAATATATATTTTCAGTATTTTAATACAGCCAACTTTAAATCATTTGACGAATTCTTGTACACTTACAAAAAATGTCTATTCAACAGTGAAATAATCTATTAAACAATCCTTCGTAAAAATTTGATATATCTACGCTAACATGAGTAGTTATAACTTCTTAAAATGTCGTGTTTTACAAATAAATAGCTTTCCTGTTGGTCCTCTAATGCTTGAATCCAACCTCTATACTGAGCCTGAGTATACAACACCAACACCACTGCACCAAATCGACGGGTCTTGCGTGACCTAAGAAGATAAACTCTGTTCTGTCAATGCATTTATCCGGAATTATTGTGCTCGCTGACTAACCTTGTTTTACTTAGTACTTTATTGCAATTAGTAAAACGATCAAAATTATCTCATAACATATATTGGATGTGTTCGTAACATTATATTTTCATTTAAGAATCTCGGTTAAATTTATTTGTTGTAGTTTTTTTAAGAGTTGGTTCATTTTTTTAAACAATAAATTTCTTTTAAATTACATTTTCAGTATTAAGTTTTAATTTTCTTTAGCGAATTAATGTCTAGAGAAGAAACAATTACCGTAGATGTGATAGCAAGACCTAGACCCTAGACACTTTTTCATTTTGATGTCCCCAGAGGGCAAAAACACGAATTTTAAAATCTGTTACGTGTTATGTGTATATATGGTAAAACTAAAGTATTATTTGTATTTCGTTTTTACATATTCCACGATTGACAGTCAAGGCGTTTCGTAGTTTTTCAGTGTTTACAATAAACTAGTTTCACAGCCAATCGATCTCGCCATTAGAGTAATTATCCAAAGTGCTTATCAAAGACAATTCACCCACCCCCTTTATCAGCTAAGGGATGGCTTGTTAATTAATTGAAGTTTTTTGTTCTATTTGGATCGATTCGTTCTCTCATTATTTGGTTTACAAATTGTATTCGACAGTCAAAAACTTATATTCGCGAAAGACCAAAATAGAGTCGATAAGTTATGAATGATGGAGATTTATTTTCAAGTACCATACGTTGTTTAGATTAGTGGTTGAGTAATTAATGCTTACATTCTAGCATACAATGGTGTCAAAGTTTTGTGTCACCAATTACGTAGTTTAAACATAACATGCACGTTGATACATCCAGTCTATAGCAGTCAGCTGATATTAATGCCACACCAAAATTTATCAAACAAGCGGCTGCATTTACATACCTTGAGAAGTTGTACATAACCATTAGTTTTACTAAAAATTATTAATATGGTATTATGATTCATAACATGTAATATATCAACATCCCAGTCGCTATATTCGTGAACATTATAACCAGTTTTGTAACACCGTGATTTGCCTTATAAGAATCTCATATCAAATAAAAATAAACTAATTTTTTCCTGTTCTAATCTCAAAATTGTTTTTACGATTTTTTGTTTGTACAACGTGTATTGTCATACTATTTGAGAATTAAAAACAATCATAGATGTATTATTTAGCTCTTTACACAGGGTGGCTGAAAAGTAACTTACACCCCCTTAACTTTTCAACTCTTTGAGATATTTGAAATATTTTTGCGGCAACATTCTTAGATATGAGGGGCTACAATAATTATGGTCAATTTGAAAATTTCGAAATGGCCGATTTTGGTTTTCTTGATGTCAATTGTTATGTTCCGTCAAGACCTGTAAAATGATACCTAACTCGACTATACTTGTCATTTGAAAATTTTGAGCTACCCCCTTCCCCCGCTGCCCCAAAGTGCAAACTTTTCAAAATTGACCATAATTATTGTAGCACCTCATAACTAAGGTTGCCGCAAATAGATTTCAAATATCTCAAATGGTTGAAAAGTTTATGTGGGGTGTAAGTTACTTTTCAGCCACCCTGTATATAAATAACAACAATAAAGAAATTACACTATTATGAATAACGGGCAAGGTAATAATAACAATTATCATCCCCAATCAACGTTAGTTAGACACAGCTGGAGTAGAGAAGTTATCTGTGGTTAGAGTAACGAAAACATTGTGTACACTACTACATACTAGTACTACTTCATACTAGTATGAATGTAAATAGTTATGGGCCTTTACCAATGATGTTGGTATGGGTATGACATTAAAAAAAGTAAAATGTATTTAAAATACTGAGTCAATTGTTATGGATTAGCTAAATTTAATTTCGAGGTAGGTTTCTGACTAGTAATTGTAGAGTTTGATACTAACAATTATTGATAAATTGTTATTTTGCCAACTTTGTAAAACTTGAGCCTAACCAAACTATCTATTTATAAAGTATTTATTGCTCAGTATTATAAATAAATAGTAAAATATGCACCCTAACGTTAGGGAAAACATGTTGATTTCAACGGACTCAAACTCAGCAGGATTAAAACAAATACATGTTTGATTTTGATGCAGGATATAACAGCTTGCAGTTTCCAAGGTCAATGGATGTATTTTCCTAACTTGTGTCGATTTTTCACTTTCAGGTCTCGTGATGCGCAGTTCAAGAGAAGGGATGCCGCCTACAAGATCATACAATAGTTAGGTGAGTTGTTTGACTTTTAGATAGTTATTTTCGTGTTTAGAATGGCAGTGGTTGTTTCAAGAAGGCTTTACTTCTCAAGTATGTATTGTGCACCAGTACTAAATGCCTAACCATAATTTGATCCTTCCTCTAAACTCGTATTACCATTGACTATATATAGTCAGTGGTATTACATAATATAAGTCGGCCTTATAGTACTTGATACTATATACAATATGTACAGTATCAAATACCCTACCTTTTCAAAAATTAGCTTTTTCTGTAGAAAAGAATGCATTACTCATATGTTTTTTCTAAGGTTGATTGATAATATAGGATATTCAGATAAATCTTTTTCAAGCTCGGAAGTTTTATAATGAGTGACTATAACTATAGTTTAACGTAATTGTTAAACTATAGAGTCTTTATCTAAATGTTATGACTGCATTAACACCAGAAGACTTTAATTTACTCTACCAAACAGTACAAATAGTGAAAACATTAAAAATTATGGTAACATTTGAATTGTATTCATAAAACAATGACGTATTAACTTTTTTAATCACATTCAACTAAGCAAAAAGTAATTATAACACGCAATTTATGTGTCCTAAACTGAATGATTAACACAAATTTGTATAAACTTAAATGAATCAACGACACTAAATAAATAGAGGTACTAAATAAAAAAATAATAAACAAAATCAAACAAAGTTTTATGGAAAAACAATAAAATAAAAATTTTTTTTAGTTGACGAAACTTTGCTACTGTAAGTTCTTGCAAAACTGGAATTTCATTAATTTACAGTACTTATACACTTCCTAAAAATAAATGGAACAATATATATACACTTTACCATTTAAATAAATGCTTTAAGTATATTTAAATAAATGTTGTTGACACAGAGTGTTGATCTTGCCATTAATGTAGCGCCGTGCGTCAACAAGATACTATTCCCGCAGAACAGTAGTGTGATGGCGTTGCGTTGGAAGGATTGCAGGCACTACCAAAATTCCATTAATTTGCTGTATTTTACTGAATTACCACCAGAGTATTTTGAACTTTTCATTTGTACGGTGGAAATAATTATTTAATTTACTAAAAATGTTCTCGAAAGTTTAAATTATTTACATTAATAATTATTTTAGATTACCAAAATTCATTTCGGTAAAAGTGCTTTTTACGATTTTAATATTTCCATCGTCAAATAACTGTTTTCATTTAATTTATGTAATTCAAATTTGTTTAATGAATTAACCCATATTTTTACCAAGATTTTTAACTGGTTATTAATAAAAGTCAATACGAATTTTAGGTACCCTACTATACTTTTATGTTGTAATTCTACAAAATAATCACTGTTAGGCGGAGGCCTACCATTTATAATAAAATCTACTACGGAGGCTTGAATCGACACAATCATCTTTGATTCAAATTATATTTGCAATTTATTAATTGAAATGAACTTAACTGTTTATTAGAATAAATTGAAGTTATTTAACAGTCTTGCAACTTTTACTGAGGTGTATACAGCTTTCTTTAAAATTCTGTTATATGTTAATTTTATGTATTGATTAAATTAAGAAACGTAATATTGTATTAATATTGACGCTGTTTTGTTTTAAAGTGTTTAATTATCCTCGCTCGTTAACTTTTTTTTAAATAAGACATAAAAAAAAGATTTAGACATTTGATGTGTGAATGTTGTGACAATAGCTAATAATTTCCATCTTCCCTGTATTGTAAAATCGAGTAGCTTACGCCATAGATAAAACATACTCCCTTACGCTAACATATTTATACTTTTCCTTGTGTCATGTGTTCCCAAAAATTATAAAATCAAACAATCATTACAACAACTATGTACACTGGACAGCCCTCCCTGATGTAAGGCGGTGGTGTGTTGTTGCAGGCCGGGTGGGGATGGCTGCCAGCTCCTGCGCGGAGGTAGCGGCGGCGGCGGCGGGTGACGGAGGCGGCAGTCTCGGCGTAGCTGCGGCGGCAGCGGCATCGTCAGTGCGAAGGTCCAAGTCGCGTCGAGCATCGTGGGAGAGCGAGCTCCAGTCTCGTCGGGCCGTGGTCGCCCGCAGTTGGTACGGAGGGTACGGCGCGCTCCCGGAGGAAGAGGAGGACGAGGTAGAGGTAGCGAGGAAGTTGGTGATGCCTAGCCTGAAAAACCTCGTCTCCATGGCGACGCTGAGTAGAAGAAGATCTTCGTCGACGACGGCGTTGAACTCCCAGGAGGTGCGGAGTGTCCCGTCGTCTGCCAAGTCGGTGACGGCGATCCCTCTACTTCGCGAACCCCTGAGGAAGTGCGAGACGGCGGTGACGTTGTCCACCATGGTACCCCCTGTGAGACCCGTCAACAGACTGAGGATGTCCAACATGTGCTCTAGGTGCTCCAGTATACTGTCTATGGCCAGTAGCTCCAGATACTCCATCAACACCACGGGCTTCGTCAATGTGAGTGAACGTAGCAATGTGATGTGTAAACTCTGTCTCAATGAGGTTCCTCAACACCTTACGTGGACGCTGCAGCACTGCTCGTGTACCTTCTGTGTAGAGGTGAGTTTGCTCTCAGTAGTCAGTTGAACTTACTTAGCTAAGTTAAGGTTCAATGTACCCGTGCTGCTGTGTAGTTGGTCGAAGACAGTGTTCTGTACTCTTTATGGGTACATCAGGTCTAAAAACTCCAAGTTTCTTAATCTCTCGAAGCTGAGGACGTCTTTAACGATCCAGGGGTTTTCATTAAATTAACGTTATTAGATTTTCCTACTTTGGGTAGTGGTAACTAAAAGTTGAACCTAAATCGAACATAGTCATTGTAAGTTACTTAAGTTCTTTTACTCAGGCTTTGGTACTGGCAAAACCTCTACTCGATTGCACTGATCGAATTTGAGCGTAAACGTAGTCTTAGTAAACAGGCAACACAAGTCCCCCCAAGGTTTATGTTTACAAACGTAAAGGTGTAGGGTAAAGTTTGCTGCAATGAAATATTGATGTAAACAACGTGGACCTATGTTGTACATAATATGTATACTATATCCCGACTGTCTTTTAAATCTGTAAAAATAAAATTAAATAGGATTAATTATAGACGAATACTCTTTAGCGTTATGAAGCGTTGTACTATTGATGAATTGCATAGTAAAAAGGTACAACGGAGCCAAAATCATAAAATTGGTGAAATCTCGTGACCACTAGAACTCTAATCAGTCTCCAAAATCATTTGGCGTTTGAAAGTTGAAAAAATGTGTATATTAGAAAACGAGCATAATCTAAAAATTGTCATTTTCAGACGTCAGTTCTTTCTCCGAATTATGTAAAAAGACAGTGTATTGTGTGACAAATGTGTATATTTACTGATAGCTATTGTTATCAGCAGTTTATTTAAACATTCCCCCATAAATAAGTCCATACCCAGTATCAATATAGGCCGTATATAATATTTTTGGAGCTGTATATTTTGCCGCTAAATTCGAACATTTTGAATTGATTTAGAAGTAAAGTTTTACTCTACGATATCAAAGTCAGTTGCACTACATTGTACTCTAGCCCTATATAGGAACACAGTAGCAGTAAAGAGTGTACACATTGTATGTTGTATACAACTCCATAGAGTAGTGAGAGAAAGGTTACCCTCGTGTTTATCGGTTTCCTCTATGACTCAAGACACAGCTGACCTTCAGCGTTAGACGAGGAAATAAGGCTTGTAAACACTGGACGGGTCCTGAGGAAACCGCACAAACCCTTCAATCAGCTGATTGGCTCATTGGCTGCGGCTAGCGTAAAGATTGTTTACGAGTTTCTAATTGCAATTAGAAAAATAATGACTAATAAATAATCGAAGCTAAAATTTAAAAGCTTACTAATAAAAATTAAAAGGTTATCGATAAATGCGAAAGATAATAATGTGAAAATAAGATTAGCCAGGGCTTAGGGCATATTAGATTTGATAAATCAACAGAAATCTGGCAACGAGTGGCTAGAAGCACTGGGAACAAAGTTTGTTAATTCTTATGGAAATTTCCGAAGTGTAAGTTATTATTTGTTTATCTGAAAAGTTACACAATGTCCATCGCTTAAATTTTAGCTTATTGCATACTCTGACAATATTCAATCAATCCTAAACACAAAATATTTAAATCTCTTTGTAGAGTTTTTTCATTTTAATTTTGAAAAAGATGTAACCAATGTAAGGACAGTAAGGAGTGCAATTTTTGCTGTTTTATAATTGAAACCATCGCATTAATATTAATATATTTTTGTAAATCATAATGTACATCCTTATGTAGTGCGATTTACAAAAAACTATTAATATTAATGGGATGATTTCATTTATAAAACAGCACAAATTACACTTACATACTTTACTTGTACTAATAAAGAAAGTAATATTAGCACAACTTCAGTACCGTATGATTAGCAAAAAAGTGTTAACAAAGAGCGCCAGTTAATACAGTAACATTAACACTTACAGTAATTAAATACAATAGTGCATACAATAGGCATGAAATCCAATTAGCCGACCTAGAAAGATAAAATCTTGACTTAAGAGAGCGTTTCCACTCAGCAATGTTACGCCCAAGGCTGTGCCATCTTATAGCGTTTGGTCACGTGAGTTTCCAAAAAACGTTACAATTATAATTAACCTTCATCCTTATCAGTTGATGTTATGTCCGGCCCGCTAGGAAATTAACGTCAAGGGTATATACGTGGCTTGTGAAGTTGGCAAAGATTTAGGAAACAAACCATTGTATGCAGAAGAATTGTAAAAGAGTGGATGATTCTTTAAAAACCACTACACACTTGAAGCGTAAAAGTTCGAGGAATCACCGAAAGTTATACATCTTACAAACTGCAACACAATATATATTCAGGATGATTTCAAAACATATCCTATACATCAGGTTTTACTATGGAGCAAAGATTACACTGAAGTCCACTCGACATAAGCTTACAGTGAAAATAAACTACACTAAGCCATGGCTCGGTCCCCAGGTACTTAAAAATTAATGATCTAGTAGAAAATCTGTCTGAAGTATTCTCCTACACCTTCTCGATTGATCATCAAATTGAGCTACATATTACATTGTCGTACTCATTGGCTTGAATCGCAAAGAACATACTAAATACGTACTCATGGGAAACTTTGATCCCTGGTTTACATGAGGTGTTAGAAAAACAGAGGGCTTCTTTAAACCAAGATGTGGCCCGCGAGACTGAACCATTGAATATATACCCTCAATGACTGAACGCACCAAAACTAAGCAATGAAATTATAGGATTGCTAGAGCTTTTCATGAAATTCAAACTTTAAGCCCAAGATGTACGCAGCAAAACTAAGCAATGAAATTAAAATATTTCTAGAGCTAGAGCTAGGCAAAAAAGCTCTTCATGAAATTCAAACTGTTCAATTCACTGAATATCGTTATGAACTTTGGGCCACATTTCTAGATGATCACACCAGTGCATGTGGTAGTCATTCAACCATTTCACTAGTTAATGTGTTTCCCATGCACATCTTGCTCGCTGAACAGTTTACGCCCTGTTCAACGGTCTTTAATGCCTTGTTTAATGTCTGACTGACAAGGGTATATTGCCTTAAGTACTTTACGTAACCGGAATCGTCCGGTTTTAAGATGTTCGTTATAATTAAGTTTGGCAACTCAGTTGAGTAATTATCATGAAATCAGTTCATGGCTTGTGATAAGTAAAGTGTGGGAGGTTCTAGTGTTTTGTTTGTTTTGGTAGGTTTGATTGTGTCAACTTGTCTAAATAGTGATAATATTTACGGTATTTGGTTTGTATCGCTGCGATTGTTAACAGGTAGGTTATATTATTTGTAAGTTAGCTGGGTTTTTAGTTGTTTTACGTCTGCTTCTTAGAATATGGAACTATGGAAGTACATTGAACATTTACATTGAAGTATTGTTTTACACATCTGCTTTTGTATTAGCTTATTGTGTACTCAATTAATCCAAATAAGGGGATTCTATTACTGAAACATTTTGTTCGACGATATCTTATGAATTAAATATAATTCTCCCCATGAATATTTAAATATTTCTTGTGACTAGCCAACAACAATATTTTATTTAGGTTCAAAATTCGTTGTCAAATGTCTTGTTTTCCAACTTAACCACTTCTTCGACTCTTGTCCTTACGAATGGAAAATTTATAAATGCGTATTATTAAAAATTCCAATCATAATATAATAATTAACGATGAATATAAGTTTTTAAACAAATTTATCGACTTTTAACAGATACAGCCTGTATAATGTGTCCTAAGCGAATTAGCGGAGAGATGTGTGTAACTAAATCAATAACTACTTCAATCTGAATTTCCCGAAACATCGATTGATGTGAATTTTACTTCAGTTTTTAATTCTGAGTCTGTATTTATCTGTATAACCCATGCTGACCCTAATCATTAGGCTTTCGTTGAAGCAAAACTTCCACTCATTCAATATGGCTAAAACCGGACCTGTGTTTCTTAAACAAGCAAATTAAATAGACAGGACTGCCTGAGAGTCGCCTTGACGTCATGCAATTCCGCTGATTGTTTGTAAACAACAGTTAATGCTTATAAACAGAAACGTCAACAGAACACTGAACCATTGACTTTGGATATAGCATTCAGGCAGGCTGTTATTGCTAATTACAAAACCAGAAGCTTGAACTGTGTTTTCATCTCCGGTAGCCAGAGCGCCTTTAGTCGGATAAATGTTTCTTCCTTAGGGATAATGTCACAGTGGTTGCTTAGTTCTTTGCTTTCTATTTGTGCAATTTTATGCTTACGTTAAAAATGTGAAGCACGGTGTAACGTCTTACGTAAACCTAACTAGTAAATTGGTTCTCAAACTCATTTTTTCTTGATGGAATTGTGCTGCAAAAGAAACATGTAACCATGCTTGAACTGGAAGATCTTTTTTTATGTACAAGTCCGTCAAAACTTTCCTGATTCTCACGAATTTCCAACAGAATAGATGCAGCTCGTGTTATCTAGTCTTACAAGTCCGTTTTTTGTATAAACAAAACTCTCTATCTGGAGTTTCTTGAAAATAACTAACCTGATCGTTTCCATATCAGTGTGTTTTTGTATTTATTTAGTGTATACGTCAGCAGCATTTTGAATTGAACAATAACAAACTCTTTTTAAGAAAAATCTGCAAGAACCCTTCAATTTAGTGTGGATACGCCGGAGATCGATCCGTCCCTCTTGAATCGAAGTTCAAAACTCTAACTACTGTACTCTAACTCTGTACTGTACTGTAACTCTGTACTCTGTACTGTAACTACTGTACTCTAACTCTACTCAACTCTGTACGCGCTGTGTAGCCAAACCCCTGTCTATCTCAGCTACCCTTAACAGTATGTGCATAACACTACCATACACACAGCACGAGACTCGCTCAGAGCGAAAGCCAAGACGACACAGTGGCCGTGGAGATTTGCCAAGTTGCAGAAAAGTGGAAGTTGTCTCGGGAAAACCAGTTTCAATCGCTGCACGCCAGATTGCGGTGCGGATTATTTACGTCTACATTGCAGGTTTCCAGTTTC